GAAATTCTTAACACATTTAAAATGTACACAAAAAACATTTCCATAAAATTTGAAGAAAATTGATCGAAAATAGATTTTTTACGAGTAACAACCAGAGAACCTCCTTTAGAAGTTTGGAGTTAAAAAGAACTTACAACTTTTTAACTTTCTACATAAAATATTAAATTAAAATTTTTTTTTATTTCCGCTTTTGTCCAACACATATATGTATTCTTTTTAGAGAATAATATTTCTTGAAAAAAGTAAATACCAATCAATTTTGTTTAAACACATATGTATTTTATAAGAACATTTTAGTTGTTAGTAGACATTATTGCTACACGGAAAAAAATTAATCTCTAAATTAGAGATTAAATCTGAGATTTAGGCATAAACTATCACTGGAATTGGACGTAAGATGAAAGCAGATCACTAAAACTGAAATTTGGTATTATATCTAATCCGAATATTAGTATTGTGAAGAGCACGTATTTTTTATGCCTAAAAAAATGATATTAGGAATCTCAAATTTTATGACATGGAACATATGTTCTAAACTATCAACTTACTTGAATAAATTCAAATCTAATATATATTATTTGAATAAACAATATTAAAAATTTTAGTCGTATATTTATATAATTCTTATTTTTTTAATAACTCGATGTAATAAGAATTTATAATTTACCACAATTTAGAGTGAGAATTATTCACAAAATATTTATATTGTTTTCCCTGTATGAACTATACATTGACAAGTATAAAAAAGTAGTTGGATATTTTTAAAACACAATACGAATGTTATATTTTTATTTCATTTTTTTGTTTTAACGGCGTTGGAAGGTCTGTAAAATTTGTAGGTTACAATTATCGCCCGACAAAATACGACACTGACTGATTTAAATGACGTGAAATAGGTAAATAAACATTTTTCAACCACTTTTTCTCTAAACACAGACACTTTTTACAAAATAGGCCAACATACAACGAGTAGGAATCTTCTTAATTACCTAAATTCAAAAGGTGGTTTAAATTCATGCAGAAACGCGGTTGTAAAATGTAAAATTGGAAAGTAATGTAATGCTAAGAATATAACAGCTGGACCATTGTGCTCTCTGCATGCTTCTGCCCTCTTCTGGCGACTGGCAGTAATCCGCTTCTTGTTGTCTGTCATTACATTACTTTCCAATCATTTCCAATTTTACATTTTACAACCGCTTGACAACCGCGTTTCTGCATGAATTTAAACAATCTTTTGAATTTAGGTTATTAAGAAGATTCTTACCCATTGTATGTTGGCCTATTTTGTAAAAAGTGTCTGTGTTTAGAGAAAAAGTGGTTAAAAAATGTTTATTTACCTATTTCACGTCATTTAAATCAGTCAGTGCCGTATTTTGTCGGGCGACAATTGTAACCTTAAAATTTCACAGACCTTTCTTCACAGACCTTCGCTTTTATTTGGATATTTGAAAATAAAATTAATACTTAATTAATTAAAATGGTTTAAATCTTTTTTGTCACTGATTAACTTAAAACACAATGTTTCTTGAATTCTTATTTATCTATAAAATTTATATATTTTACCAAACCCTTTTGAATTTTTAAAATCTGAGGATAGATTTGTAATCAACAACACTAAAAACCCCTAGATAATGATTTGCATAAAAATCTAACAATTTTTAGAAAATTTAGTCGCTTTAAACGCTCACTCTGTAAAATTCTCTTTTTCGGCGATGGGTACCTTCCCACCCTTACGAAAATGTATGACACGCAAAACATGTCATGCACGCATGGTATTATTTTTGTGACGTTCTTTCGCGACGCCACACAAATCATGTCATGAAAGTTGTGACATAAATTTATGTCATGCGTAAAACGCCACTGTAAAATTGGTATTTGAAGTATGTAAAGATTATTATTTAAAAAATTAATTAACTATATAAGTTTTTAAAACCAGAAACACAATTTTTATAGGTAGTGTTATGAATTTTTAAAAAAATATAGTACCCAAAAATTGAATTTAAAGAAAACAACATTTCTATATAGTTTTTTTAACTAAAACTTTATAATAATTTGTAGCTGTAAAACACTATTTGAAGATAAAAAAATATTTTATAAAGAATGAATGGATAAGAAAGTGATTAAAATCAACCATAAAGTAATATCATAGTTTATTGCACTTTAAGAAGTGTAATTAAAATTACAATAATTGAAGACCTCAACGGAATAACGATCTATGGCACATTTAAAAATGCTTGCAATTTTCAACTTTGAAGTGCCATAAATCGTTATTCCAACTATAATATTATCTAATGAAAGCCAATACATTTTATTATCTATTTATTTAATTACACTTCTTTATTCATTTAGGCTCAAAATTTAATAATACGTGATCATATTTTCATTACAATCACATTCATGTAAAAATGTGCCATAGATCGTTATTCCGTGGATGTCTTCATTTATTATTTATCGGTGTCCGATGGTTTCTCTGTTTACAGGCACGTGAAATTGATAAACAATCATTTTCTAACAAATGTTTCTGTGTTCACAAGCACTTATTACAATATCGGAATGCGAACCGTCGTCACAAATGTTTTTAATTAAATCAATTTAAAAGATTTTTTAAATCCATGCAGAAAAGCGGTTGCAGATTTGGAAATACCACAGCAATATTATGCTAATCATATTGACAGCTGAGCCTTTGCGCTCTCTGCATGCTTCTGTCCTCTAATGGCAAATAGCTGTAATTTACATCTTTCCGCCTGTAATTGCATTGCTGTGATATTTCCAATTCTGCAACCGCTTTTCTGCTTGGATTTAAAAAATCTTTTGAATTGATTTAATTAAAAACATTTGTGACGACGGTTCGCATTCAGATTTTGTAATAAGTGCTTGTGAACACAGAAACATCCATTTATTCTTTATGAAATATTTCTTATTTATCTTCAAACAGTGTTTTACAGCTACAAATTATTATGAAGTTTCTGTGATAAACTACATAGAAAATATGTTGTCTTTAAATTCAATTTTTGGGTACTATATTTTTTAAAAATTCATAACAACATTATAAAAATTGTGTTTCTGATTTTAAAAACTTATATAGTTAATCTGTATAGCACTATTTTTTAAAATAATAATCTTTACGCACTACAAATACCAATTTTACAGTGGCGTTTTACGCATGACGTAAATTTATGTCACGACTTTCATGACATGATTTGCGTTTCGTCGCGAAAAAACGTCACGAAAATAATGCCATGCACGCATGATATGTTATGCGTGTCATAAATTTTCGTAAGGGCAGTGGGCAAAAAACTATCATTGTTTTAAAAACGTTCAAAAAACGTTTTTAGAACGTTTCATGACTGCCAAATAACGTCCCAAAAACGTTATATGTTTCAAAAACGATTTAAAAGCAATGGAATGTTTTTGGAACATTATTTGGCAGACATGAAACGTTCTAAAAACTTTTTTGGTACGTTTTTAAAACAATGATGGTTTTTTGCCCACTGGGTTTTCTCGTCTTTTGTCACATATAAGTACCTAATATATTAATTCAGGACATTAATTTGTGCAGAAAGTAGATAAGGAACATTTTATTAATAAAAATGAAGAGGATATTCACAAGAAAAAAGAAACATTTTTAGGCAGAAGAAAACAAATTGTTTCCAGTGAGTCTTCTGAAAACGATGATTTTTCCGATAGTAATTCTTCCAGTAAAGAATGATTCTAATACAGAAATGGTGTTAATTCAAGTAGATGAGAGGAGAAAATTCAGAATATTATCTAAGTCTGGTAAGATAGGGTCATTTGAAATAATTTAAAAATATACTTGTGTTTCCTCATTTTAAAAGTTACGTATAGCATTTCTTTATTTGCTAAAACTAAAATAATGGGTTTAGGGGATTAAGTGTATAAGAAGTATTAGTTAAATATTATTTTTGTCCAAAATCGACAGAAAATGTTTAAAAATTGAGTAAGTGAGATAACTGGGTACAGATTACAGATTTGTTGTATAAGGGTGATTCTCCACGTAGCGCAGGATTTGTTTTATGAAATTAAATAAAATTTGTTTATCGTTTGATAATGACATACCAATATATTTTTTAAAGATAAAGGGTTCAGAAAGAAAAGTCAATGGCGGGCCGGAAAAATTGGTTACAATTATTTTAAAGAAATTGAAAGAGATATTTGTTAATTCCATAAAATATTTACATTTAGATATAAATTGTTCGGAAACAAAAATCATTTATCCAGAAAGATTTCCTGGCAGAATTATTATTGCAATAATAATATCCCTATCGAAAATTCCGATATAGGTACCCATACAGTAAACTTCATAAGAAACTATATAAAAACTATATAGAAAACTATATAGTAAACTATATAGAAAACTACATGGGAAACTATATCGTAAATTGGGACAGGTAACGATATAGTTTCCAATATAGGTTTCTATGTAGTTTCCCATTTGCTTTTTAAGAGATAAAATACTTTTTATATTTCATTATAGTAATATTATATGTAACATGGTCTATGAAAAGGGATATTACGTGTCAAAAAATCATTTTTTACTTTTTTGTTGATTCGCATAGAGTTTGAAACGCTCTTTAAGATGATGAAAACCAAAAAGTCATAAATTGATTCAAATTTTTTAAAGTCAAAAGAAACAAGAGTAAAAATACGAAAAAACTGATTTTTTGTTATTATACAAATTAAAATAAAGAAGACGATAATTTTTTATTATTTAGAAATGTCGACAGTTTCTTTGACAACTTTCAATAGTTAAACTTCAAATTTAATATCATATTCGTAATCAGCGTCCTCAAAAAACTTATTACTGTACGTTATTTGGCAAATATTAGCGAAATATAATATAAGAATGGCATTTTTTAACATGATTCAAGCATAAACGTCTTTTTTCAATTAATAACACAATTTATCAGTAAAAATAAGTTTTCTTGTAAAAAGAAATTATACAATTTTACAATTACTCATGAGTAAATGGTAATTTTCTTCGGCAGTCGTATATTTTTTGTGACATGTAGCCCCAAAATGCTTCTAATTTGTCTTCATTGACACTCCCATCCTTAGTCCTCTTTGCAATTTTATTGCGTAAGTGATCTGAAATTAAAAAAAGATATTAAATCCTTATTAGTAAAATCAGACTTATGTCTGTACATTGCATGAAATTCAAAATTTCTATTATATTTCTTCTTTTTACACTATAAGAAATGCGAAAATACTATTAAGAAAATTATGTGTGTATGTGTATCCCTAGTAGAAATTTGTCGTGGCATAACTAGATTTATTCAAGTTACTGTACAGTTTTAATCATGGAAGTTTAATCTAGCTTAACTGGCGAATTACAAGACAGCTACTGCATAACACTGTTAAAGAAAATATAAAGTTGAACTTGATTATTACTGCATAGAAGTCCTGTACAGTTATTTTCATGGCACTATCAAGACGTTCCAAGAAATTATGTTCCAAAGTTTGTCGTGGCGTTAGCGCTACCGCCAGTTTCAGTAACTAAACAATTGTGTATTGCCATTTTCGAAATATTTTCCATAGAATAAATCTTTTGGTTTTACAGTTTATAGTTTTATATTTTTCATTTTGTTCTTTTATTTTACTGTTGACAACTAAATAACAAATTTTTTAAATTATTTATTATTACAATTTTGATTTAATAATAAAAATTTCTTTTAAATCAAAATTTAGTTTTAATGAAAACTCCTTTAGAAAAAAAAACTTTTTTAAAATTCGCTTTAATTAATCGAGTTAATTAAAATAACTAATTTTTTAAATTCAGAAGACAATTTCTTTTCAAGATTATATACTCTTATTATATGTACAAATATTAATTTAACAATTAATTAATTAATTAATTAATTTTTAATTTTTATTTATTTTTTTTTTTAATTTGTTGTTATTTATCTACCTTCCATTGGATCAAAATTTTCCATTTTACAAATAAATAATTCGGAAGGAAATTTTCTACTATTTCTAAAGTGAGGTTATATTTTACATTGATGTATTGACTTTGACATAGTATAGCTCTCCGATCTGTATAACAGAACTGTCTATAATTAATGACAGTAGCCAGTAACAATTTATTTCTAATTCCTTACGGAAAAAATAGTCATAATTCTAGTTATACCCGCGAATTATTTCTTTCATTGTACCGTGAAATTATGTTTCAAAGTTTGTCGTGGCGTTAGCGCTACCGTCAGTCCAGCAACTTTTGAACGTTTGAACTGAATTAGTTCTTCATATTAGGGTTTACTTATAAGTTTGTAGTGTGATAAAATAATAATATTTATTTCAGTGTTGTGCTTAATTCAAGTTAAAAGTGAAAAAATGACATGTGTACAAGAATCAGTAATGTTTATATTTTTTTTTTAATTATGTAGTTATTTAAAAATAATTTTACAGATAATTCATTATAAATCATTTATTATACGGAACAATAGATACACCAACAGTAAAAATATAGTTTCGTAAAATTTTAATTTATTTAATTTGTTGACAAAAAAATTTAACGTTATATTTTCAAATTTGTACGTGTTTAATACAAAACGTCAATATAAAGAAAGTTTTGACATTTCCAAGTGAATTATTTTGTATAGTTTTTCAACAGGACTGATGATCAGAAACTGTAAAATTTGACTGGACAATAACTTGAAGAAATTAGCGTGACATCACTTTATAGTTTTTAGCCAGTTTAACTGTAAAGTTCTTCGAAATTTTCCAGTGGAACTGTCCAGTGCCCTTAAAGATACATACTATGACAAAGGGCTTAGGGGGTTAAGTGTGCAAAAACTGCCCCCGCATCTATTTTTCTCAAATTTGGCCCATATATTACTATCCATATGACTATAACTTTCTGCAATTTTGAACTCAAAATTCGCTTTTTTGGGGGAGTTATGGAGGGGGAAAGCAAAATCAAAAAACTTATTTTTCTCGAAAACTACTGAACCGATTTTAATGAAATTTTAAAAGGTTGTAAATATAGATAAGACGATTTTAGAAAAAAAAATCAAAATTTTTTTTTCAAAAAAAATTTTTGAAAAAAATTTTTGAAATTTTCAAAATTTTTTTCTAGGGTTATTTTTTGAAGTGACCACTTTCTCTTTTGTTGTAAAAAGTACCTTATAATGTCCCCTTTAACATATATTTTTTCCAAATTTTTTAAAAATATAGTTTTTGAGTAAAATGTCAAAAACCACCACGTACGGTAATGCACATATATACATATGGGCAATTTCATGTGATAGGGTATAGCCAAATAAATATGGAAAAAGTGACCCGAATATATTTTTCCCATTCATTCCTACCCACTTAAAAATAACTTTTTGAAATTTTTAACTCCAAATTTTGAGTTTTTTGGAACTTATGGAGAGGAAAAAAATCGAAAAACGCATTATTCCCAAAAACTACTGTATGCATTTTAATCAGCTTTGAATATGTTGAAAAGACAATCAAAGAGATTCCAAAAAAAAAATTCAAAATTTTTTTTCAAAAATTTTAAAAATCTTTTTTTTTTGAAAATTTTTTGAAATTTTCAAAGAAAAATTTTCTAGTTCTATTAAAGTGACATTTTTATGTATTTTCTCATTTCATTCTCTTATGTGATCTACTTAATAAAAAAATTTTGTCCGACATGATTTCAGGGTGTCACGGTAAATAACTCAAAAACATACCCGGTACATTTTTATGTTGTATGTAAATGATTAATTTTAAAAAACCTGTCAAATATTTTTGCAACTTATTACTAGTGGGTTATTGAGGTTGCTAAATACAAATCTGAAGTTGATATAAAAAAATATTTTTAGACAAACAAAAAAATTTGGAAAATTTTAAAATCAAATTTTAGGATTTTTTGAGTTTTTTTACCGTGTTACACTCTAAATATCTCAATATTCAAAGCTGATTAAAATGCATACAGTAGTTTTTGGGAATAATGCGTTTTTCGATTTTTTTCCTCTCCATAAGTTCCAAAAAACTCAAAATTTTGAGTTAAAAATTTCAAAAAGTTATTTTTAAGTGGGTAGGAATGAATGGGAAAAATATATTCGGGTCACTTTTTCCATATTTATTTGGCTATACCCTATCACATGAAATTGCCCATATGTATATATGTGCATTACCGTACGTGGTGGTTTTTGACATTTTACTCAAAAACTATATTTTTAAAAAATTTGGAAAAAATATATGTTAAAGGGAACATTGTAAGGTACTTTTTACAACAAAAGAGAAAGTGGTCACTTCAAAAAATAACCCTAAAAAAAAATTTTGAAAATTTCAAAAATTTTTTTCAAAAATTTTTTTTGAAAAAAAAATTTTGATTTTTTTTTCTAAAATCGTCTTATCTATATTTACAACCTCTTAAAATTTCATTAAAATCGGTTCAGTAGTTTTCGAGAAAAATAAGTTTTTTGATTTTGCTTTCCCCCTCCATAACTCCCCCAAAAAAGCGAATTTTGAGTTCAAAATTGCAGAAAGTTATAGTCATATGGATAGTAATATATGGGCCAAATTTGAGAAAAATAGATGCGGGGGCAGTTTTTGCACACTTAACCCCCTAAGCCCTTTCTACTAGGGATATGTCCGCTAATTTTCGACCGCGCATCACGGAAAAACGGTTCTATCGTTTGAAGTAAAACTTGGCAGTATTTTAGGCATTTAGCCTAACTTAAAATCATAGCGATATTAAATTATAAAATATTAATATGATCGGAAGTTATGCCATTTTTTCAAAATTCGAAATTTTTAATAATTCTATTAGGTCAGAATATTAACAACATGCAAAATAATAATATGAGACTTTTGTCAGTATATTTTACAAAATTCAAAATTGCTATTATATTAGGGGAGAGTGAGGCAAACCGGACCGGTCTCAATATTTCCGAAATGGCGAAATTATCAAAAGTGTTGTTTACAAATTTTAAACAACCATGTTTAGTATACCTTATTTTTCCAATCTGACAGTTTTAGCTTGCGTTTGTACGACGAAGGAAGCAAAATTTTTTTTTTAGTTTTTTTCTACACTTTTACGAATTTTTTCTTAAGGGAATTCTGAGGAAATCGTGTAATATTTCCAAATATTAGGTCTTAGGTTTTGAAGGTACACACCTCAGGAATATTTACCATCAAAAACTTTGATGAATTTGTAAAGCAGGCAGGCAGTAGGAGCTGTGCTAGCGCCTTTATGTGTCTTCGGTTATAGGTCTTAGGCTAGATAAGTGTGACTGGGTTTTGATCCCCGTATGTTTCGAATTTTAATTTAATTGTAATCCTACAAAGTATTTAGGCTAAATAATTAATTATTTTATTAAATTTCACTATAATTAGTCTAGCTACTCCAGAGTAACAACATTTATATTATTGGAATAAATAATTGCAAATACCAACGTTGGTGTTGATAAACGTTGTCAAATAGTATATTAAGCAACAAGAGGATAAAGGCAGCCATTTCTTTACGGTGATTTTTGTGACACGAGTGACACTTGTTCTTTACCCTAAAAGAAGTATGCTTAATTACCTTGAATGATCTTGCATTTTTCTGGCGTTAACAACTTCCTCTTTTCCTTATCGTGAATGCATCTACTTGGATCTAACGACCTTAATTGCAGTTCGGAACGACCCCATAGTATTTCCGCAAGGTCTTTTACAAAAATCGAGTCCCTTTGTCGATTTAGACGCTCCCATACATCAATATGTATATAAAAATTTAAGCCAATGTGGAACTGTCATGTAAAATAATAAAATAAATAAATAAAATAATAAATTTTCAATTATCTGAGATTGAAGAGAGTTATCTGAGTTATCTGAGAGACAGTTGAACTTGAGGTGTCTTTAGTAGGATATCCTTAGGATGCCTATGTCAAATCAAAGGACGTCAAAAATATATCTTACATCTTAGAGATATATTGTGACCATAAGGTGCCTTTCAGGTGATATGCGAACAGGCATAGGGGAGCGTGGGCTACATTGTACCAGTGTTTTCAGTAAACCACTTCAATTTTTAGAAAAATAACTGAATGAAATTTTTTCTTATTCTATATAAAAGTTTGTTTTACACAAACAGACTATGTCTAAAAGTTTCTGGCACGAATATT